TTACTCCTTAGCAGGATCCTTTATCTCACTCTTTTTTCCTTCTCATCCTCCTTTTCTTTGTTTTTCAAAATTTCCTTTCATTTTCCCTTTTCCCTCCCTCTCCACCTTTACAAGTATTACTATTAAGCATTGTTAATCTTTAGATATTTAATTGACTATTGTATTGTAGTTGAATTCGTCTCAATTTTCAATGGAGGTACAGTTATATTTAATATATATTTACTGTATGTCAATATTTGGTTTATCTTTGTGTCTATATTATAATTATAGATATCTTTTCTATTGTGAGGGGTGGTACAATGCTAGCTTTTATTGGTTATTATGGTATATCAATATCCAGCTGGTCTTTGCCTCTTACTGTTGCTGATTTTGTTGCTACTGGCAGGGTGGCATAGTTATTGCTATTAACTGGTTTTTACTATGTGCTAATATCTGGTTTGTCTTTGTGTCATCAATACTGTGGTTCATTTCTGGAATAGAGATGCTGGGTCAACTATACTGCATTCTCCACTCCCCAAATTAAGAGATATGGTCAGACCTTGGATCAGGGATAAAGGCTCAGAGTGGATCACACTAGCAGCAAAGTCATCCCACTATTACTGACTTGCAACCCTCAGCACACACACACAAAAGAACAATAGAAATATGAGAAAATAAAGCAACAAAATGTCTCCAAAAACTCCCAACTCCCCAAAAGCTGATCTATGAGGCCTCAATGTGGAGGAGATCAAAATCCAACTAGCTGAATTATACAAAGTGATAAAAGAAGAGACAAAAAATCAATAAGGTGCTCAACAGCCTCAAAGATGTTACAACTAAAAAGATAATGGATTTAATAAAATGATCAGTGACCTAACAGAAGACACTAATAAAAAACCAGCTGAGCTAAACAAAACAATGCAAAACACGAATGACTAGTTTAGAAAAGAATTGGAGTCCATGAAAAGGTACAAAACAGGAGCCTAGGAGATTAAAAATTCTATTGAAAGCATGGGCAGAGAAGTAACCAATATGAGCACACTGTCAGAACTAAAAGATAAGGCTGGTGTAAGTGACCATATACCCAGAGATACCTTAAGGACAAGAAGACATGGAAAATGGATCCCACAGCTCCTAGATGAGAAGAAAATGAATCTAAGATTAACTTGAATTAATGAGAAATCAGAAGACAGCACAAATGATATAAAAAACTTGTTTATAGAAATAATAGCAGAAAACTTTCCAAGCATGGAGAGAGAATTTAACATAGAGATAAGTGAGGCATATAGAACCCCAAATAGCCACAATCAATAAACAACTTCTTCATGGCACATCATAGTCAGAATCCCAAAAGTCTAACACAAGTACAGAATCTTAAAAGCTCTTAGAGGAAAGCAATGAATCACTTGTAAATGTAAATCTGTTAGAATTACAGCAGATTTCTTAACACAAACCTCAAAGTCCAGGTGAGCTTGGAGTGAAGTGTTTGAGGCCTTACAAGAAAGCAACTTCCAACCCTGATTAATAGACCCTCCAAAACCATCCTTCAAAATTAATAGCGAAATAAGGTCTATCCATGACAAAGAGAACCTCAAGAATTTTACGACCACCAAACCAGCACTCCAGAAAACTTTTCAAGGATATTTTAGAAAAATTGAAGCCAACAATGCTACAAAGTATAACAGAATGAATACAACAGATAGGATGAATAGTTAAGTAGAAAGGTGGTGGTGGTGGTGGGGAGAATTCACCAACAGAAAAATAACAGAATTGCAGGAATAACTCAAAACCTTTCAACAATAATTCAACAGCATTCCTCACAGAACTAGAAGAAACAATCCTAAAATTCAGAAGAGACCCAGAATAGCAAAAGCAAACCTGGGCAATAAGGGCAAAGCAGGAGGCATTAACGTCTCAGATTTCAACTTATATTACAAAGATGTAGTGATAAAAACAGCATGGTACTGGCACAAAAGCAGATATGTGGGTCAGTGGAACAGAACAGAGGATGCAGAAACAACTCCAAGCACACTCAGCTATCTGATCTGTGACAAAGGGGCCAGAAATATATGCCGGAGGAAAGACAGCCTCCTTAGCAAATGGTGCTAGGGAGACTGAATTATATAGATGCAAGAGATTGAATTTAGACCCGTATCTCTCACTATGTACTAATCTAAAGTAAAAAGGAATCAAAGACCTAAATATTAACACAGAAACACTTAACCTCCTGGAAGATAAAATAGTTAAAACTCTTGAAGACGTAGGCATAGGCAAGGACTTTGTGAACAGAACTCAATCGCACAATAAATAACATAAAGAATCAAAAATGAGATTATGTCAAATTTAAAAAGCTTCTGTACAGCAAAGGAAACAATGAACATAGTGAAGAGACAACCCACAGAATGGGAAAAATTTTGCCAGCAATTCCTCAGACAAAGGGTAATATCTAGAATATTTAAAGAACTAAAAAAAGTTTAGATCTCTCAAAATAAAAGACTCAATCAAACAATTGAAATGAATAGATACTTCTCAGAAAAAGTACAAATGGCCAATAAATACATGAAAACTGTTCAACATATCTGGCCATTACAGATACACAAATTAAAACAACACTGAGATTCCATCTTACTCCAGAAAGAATGGCTATCATCAAGAAATCACATAATAACAAATGCTGACGAGGCTACAGGAGAAAAAGCCACCCTTTTATATTGTACATGGTTTTACATTCCTATTTGACCCAGCTATTCCCCCTCTGGCTATCTTCTCAGAAGAGTTAACAACATCATATTACCGTGATACATGCATACTCGTGTTTATAGCACAACTCATAATAGCTAAATAATGGAAGCATCCTATATGCCCATCAACAAATGAATGGATAAAGAAAGCATGGTATTTATACATAATGGAGTACGGCTCTGTTATAAAGACAAACAAATTTGAGTCTTTAGTAGGAAAATGGGTGCACCTTGATATCACAATTTTAAATGAAATAAATCAGACACACAAACTTAAATATTGTGTGATTTCTCTTATACGAGAAACCCAAAATATAAAGAAATTAAAGAGAAAAAAACAAGATAGATTATAGGAAATAGGGAGATAGATTTTTTGCAAATGGAAGGGGGATCAAGAAATGGAGAAAGAAGGGAGGAAGAGGAGGGGATGTAAAAAGAATTAAGATGTGTTATGTACATGTACCAGCTCCCCATGATGAGTGTCATCTTTAGGTACTAAAAACATGTACTAATAAAAATAAAAATTTAAACAATAAAAATAAATAAAGTCAAAAGCAACACTGAATGAACAGGAATGTCAATAAGCCAATAGTGTAAATGAAATGAATACAAGATAATAATGTGAAAGAACTCAGGAAGAAGGCTGAGTTATAGCTCAGTTACAGAGCACTTGCTAGCATATGAAAAGCCCTGGATTTGATCCCCAGCTCTGCAAGAAAAAATAAAAAGGAAGAAGAGAGAGAAAGAGAAAAAACAAAGAAGGAAGGAAGGAAGGAAGGAAAGAAAGAAAAAGAAAAAAGAAAAAGAAGGAGGAAAGGAAAGAGGGAAAAAAGAAAAGAAAGGTGGAAAGGAGGAAAGAAGGGAGGGAAGGAAGGAGTAGAAAAGAATACAAGATATATGAAATAAATAATAAAATAGCAAGAAGATAGACTTAAACCCAACAATATTGATAATTATTATTGTTATTATTATTATTTTCGTACTGGGGATCAAACTCAGGTCCTTGCGCTTGCGCAGCAGGTGCCAAAACCACTGAGCTAAATCCCTGGCCCAACTGATAATTAAATTAAATGTATGAAGTGTGATAGAAAAATATGGTTAAACTGGGCATGATGGTGCATGTCTGTAATTTCAGCCCATGTAATTCCAGGCACATGCCTATAATTTTCAGCCTGTAATTTCGGACCCAGTGGCCACTGACTTGTGACTGAGGCAGGAGGATCTCCGTGTGTTCGAGGCCAGACTGGGCTACATAGTGAGTTCAAGACCAGCCAGGACTACATCCTGAGAGACCCTGTCTCAAAAAAATATGGTTAATGTTTAAATTGCCATTAATTTCCTCGAAATACTCCTTTCTTCAAACACACTTATCTCATGGGTTTTGTACTTTCTAAAGCAGTTCTGGAAGTCTTTCATGAGTATCTTTAGTCACATTATCATATCTACCTCAATGTCTTGAACTGATTCAAAACATTTACCTTTCATTTTGACTTTAGGGAAGAGCCAGAAGTTGCACAGTGCCAAATCTAGTGAACAAGGTGGATGAGGATTTACTGTAATCCCTTTCCATTGGAATGCACTCAGCAAAGCATTCACTGTAGTTTTAATCATACCTCATAAAGACACTCATGAAAGAGGACTTCTAGTACTGCTTCAGAACATGGCAAGAATGCTAGGATAAGTGTGTTTAAAGCAAGGGGGAGTATTTTGAGGAGAATTAATGGTTATGTGTCTTTTAATATAATATTTTATTTATTTATTTATTTATTGGTACAGGGATCGAACTCGGGTCCTTGTGCTTGCGAGGCAGGCGCTAGAACCACTGAGCTAAATCTCCGGCCCTCCAATATATATATATATATATATTTTTTTTTTAATTTTTTTTTTTTTTTTTGTACCAGGGATGGAACTCGGGTCCTCAGCTTGCGAGCCAGGTGCCAGAACCACTGAGCTAAATCCCCGGCCCTCCAATAAATTTTTTAATTTAAACTTTAACTGTATAAAGTTAAATCACCCCTTGTAAATCATGTAAACAATCTGATTAAAATGCAGATTGTCAGGCTGGATTTTAAAAAGGCCAGATCCAACTAAATGTTATCTACAGGAAAAACATTTTAAATTTAAAGACACAGGTTAAAAGTAAAAAGGTAGGAAAAGATGTGACATATTATATTGGTTTTCCATGATTGCCATAACAAATTATTACAGAATTGCATAATGGCTTATGCAATACAAATGTATTATTTTACATTTATTTATTATTTTACATTAGATACCCACCATGAGTGTCCCTTGGCTAACATCCAGGCATCAGCACGTCTGCATTCCTTCCTGGAAACTTCACAGGGAAATCAGTTACTTTGCCTTTTCCATCTTCCAGAGGCTACCCACATCCCTTGACACATGGCCCCATCCTCCATCCTTACAGCAAGCAAGAGTGGGGCCGGTCCTTCTCACTTTGTGCTCTTCTAACCATTCTGTTGTTGTCACATCTTCCTATGAACACAGTTGGAAGTGCTTCTGTGGCTTTAAAGAAGCATGTGATTAGGTTGGCTCCCCAGACAATCCAGGACAATTTTGTAAGGGCCTTTGTTTTAATGGTATCTGCAAAGTCTCTTTTGCCCTACCAGGTTCCTGGGATTAGGCTATGAACATTTAGCCATTTTGTTACCTACAAGAGATACAAATGTTAATGACAAGAAAACTAAAGTGATTGTCAGACAATTGTACATGGGATGTTCATCAAAACAGACCATTCATTGGGCCATATCAAAGTGCCATCAAATTTAAAAGATTGAAATCAATGGAGTATGTTCTCTGATCACAAAGGAGTTAAACTGGAAATCAATAACAGGAAGACTTGGAAGTAAACATCACACTTCTAAATAACAAAGGAAATTACAAAACATTTTACACTGAATAAAATTTTAAACCAAATACGTGGGATGCAGCTAACACAGTCCTTCGTGGAAACCTTACAGATTGAAGTACTTATTTTAAATAAGAAGAAAGGTCTAAAGTCAATATTTTAAACTTCCACCTTAAGAAGCCAGTAAGAAAGGAGCAAATGCAAACAAAAGAAGGCAGAAGGCAGGAAATAATGAAAATGAGAGTAGAAATCAGTAAAATAGAAAATAGACAAACTACAGAGAAAAGGCAATGATAGCAAAACTAGTTCTATGAAAATATCATAAAAATGGATAAATCTGTACCCAAACTAATTTTTTTAAAAAAAGGTACAAAAATTACCAACATCATGAATAAAAAAGGGACATAATTTTCTCCCTAGAGGGTAAAATCAGTCAATTGAGGTGATATGTACTGTATATAATTTTCTGGTTTGTTTTATATTTTGTTACATAACTATAAATCTTGTTCCTATTGTTAAAGGTGGCAAATTAATAGTTACCACAATGTGTCATTTTCTAAGCTGTGCTTGATACTATTGTTATTACTTATTGTACTACTTTAGCCAAGGTGACATAGTTGTTCTAATCAGTTGTTCTTCCTTGTATACCGAGAACAAGACTACCTGAGAATCATAAACAATAATATACTCCAGTAGCAAAGAACCAGGGACTAGCTCAAAAACGCAGCAACTTCTCATCCCTAATAAATTGAAGAGGTAGCATCTTGCAACATACTCAAAACCCCAAAGCCAGTAACACCTGGAAAACATGTCTGAAAAGTAGTCATTTCATAAGGAGTTCTAGATAGTAGTAATAACGCTATCTACCATAAGCAATTTACAAGCATCAGTGCAGAAAATAAATTTTAAAAATAGAAAATGTGAAAACACAGAAGCAAGATGCAATCCCAGATCTGCAGCTCATCCAAGACAAACCCAAGGGTCAGAGGTGGAACAATTCAAAAGCCAACCCACCTGAACTCTCTGAAAAGATAACAGCAGAAGTAACAAAGCAAATCAATGAGGCTCTAGAAAAAAATCAGAAATAATTTCTCAGCTATTAAAAGTATATGCAGCAGTACCAACCAATGTGAGGACAGAATATCAGGTATAGAAGGCAGTTTTGCAGTTAGTCTTCATGAAAAGAAAGACTTAAAAAATAGCAAGGGATCATGAAAAATTAATCCAACAGCTGTTAAATGATGCAAAGAAGAACATAAGATTGACTGGAATTGATGAAAAATCAGGAGATAGTGTAAAGGAAAGAAAACCCCCACAAACCTGTTCACAGAAGAAAGGGTAGAAAACTTCCCAAGCATGAAAAAAGAATTTGACATACAGATAAGTGAGGCACATAGAAGCCCAATTAGCCATGATAAAAAATCTACACCAAGACTAGATAGTCAAGATTCCAGAAATTCAACACAAGAACAGAATATTAAAAGCTGTTACAGGAAAGAAACAAATCACCTATAAATGAAAGCCCATCAGAATCACAACAGACTTCTCAACACAAACCCTTAAGTCAAGGACAGCTTGGAGTGAAGTATTTCAAGCCCTACAAGAAAACAACCTCCAACTCAGATTGATGTACCTCACAAAACTATCTTTCAAAATTGATGGAGAAATAAGATATTTGCATGATAAAGACCACCTGAAGAAATTCATGACCACCAAACTAGCCCTCCAAAGTATTCTAAAGATTATTCTAGAAAGAGATAATGAAGGGTACAATTCCATGAACCCCAATAGAAGGAATCCACTAGGCAAGGCAAGCAATTAAACAGAGGGAAAAGAAAGAGAGCCAACAACTGGAAAATAATATGACAAGAATAAGTCAACATATATCAGTTATAACATCAATGTAAATGGTCTCAACTCACCAATCAAAAGAAACAGATTGGCAGATGGATCAAGAAACAGGTCCAACAATATGCTGCATACAAGAAACACATTTAACCCAAAAAGAAATTCATGGACTGAAAGTCAAAAGATGGAGAACAAATCTCCATGCAACAGGTACCTGGAAAAAAGAAGGGGTAGCAATTCTATTCATGGCCAAAGTGGATTTCAAGCTAAGATTGATCAAGAGAGACAAAAAAGGTCACTACATTCTTGTAAAGGGAACAACCCAAGAGGAAGAAATAACAATCATAAATATATATGCACTGTTATAGTCAGGGTTTGCAAGGGAATAGATTTAATACAAGACATATAATTTATAGGATTATTTTATAATATTCACCCAAAAAAATCAAATACAGAGGAATGAAAGAGGTCTGTACCCACACTAGAGACCTGAAGAATCCATCTGAGGGCCTGGATCCCACAGCAATGTCCCGCACAAGTCCTGCTAAAGGCCTAAAGCCCAAGGCAATGTTCTTCATGAGTCCAGCTAAAGGCCTAGAGCCCCTGGCAATATCTTATGCAAGCCCACATGGAGAATCTGTTCCGAGAAGGCCCAAAGACCAATGGTGGAAGCTAGAAAGTCTGTGCCAGTGTGGTGAAAGATTTGTGCCACTAGAATGAGGGAAGCAATGCTCAAGACAAAAATCAGAGTTCCCCTGACAAGAACAGCAGCCATTGCCAGTGACACCGAGGACCCAAGCTCCTCCTCCAACAAGAACAGCCAAGTTTTCCTCAGGAAAACCAGGCACAGCAAGCTTTTCCAAGAAAATCAACAGCATATGATCTTCCCCTCCAAGTCTCTTTTATTTATTTATTTATTTATTTATTTATTTATGGTACCGGGGATCAAACTCGGGTCCTTGTGCCTGTGAGGCAGGTGGTGGAACCACTGAGCTAAATCCCCGGCTCCAAGTCTCTTTTTATGCTGTTGGCAACAATCCTTAGGTGGGTCTTTCATGCCCAGAACCATGCTGATTCAGTTCAACTGGGCATTACAAGTTGACCATTAGTTAATCTACCACATGCACCAAATACCAGCACACTCAACTATATAAAACAAATATTAAAGGACCTGAAAAATCAAATAAGCACCAATACAATTGTAATGGGGGACCTCAACACCTCACTGTCACAAATAGACAGATGAACTAGACAGAAAAATCAACAAAGAAATATCAGAGCTGAACTAAACCTTTGAACAAATGGATTTAGTTGATATATACAGAGTGTTCCATCCAACAACATCAGAATACACATTCTTCTTAGCTGCACACAGTTCTCCAAAATATACCACATACTAGCTCATTGAACACACTTAAGTAAATGCAAAGGAATTGAAATTAATCCATGCATATTATCAGATCATGGTGCAATGAAATTGGAAATCAATGGCAAAAGAAACCACAAGTGCCTGCGATTTAGCTCAGCAGCACAGCACCTGCCTGGAAAACACGTGGTCCTGAGTTCGATCCCTGGTACCAAAACAACAACAATAACAACAACAACAACAACAACAACAACAACAAAAAGAAACCACAAAAGCTGCATAAACACATGGAAATTAAATAACACCCTCCTGAACAACCAATGGGTCACAGATGAAATTAAAGAAAAAATTAGACAGTTTCTACAATTAAACAATAATGCCATTACAACATACTAGAACTTATGGGACAGAATGAAAGCTGTCCTACAAGGGAAATTTATAGTGGTGAATTTCCACATCAGAAAAACAAAGCGAACTCAAATAAACAGCCTACTGTTGAACCTCAAGCTACTAGAAAAAGAAGAGCAAGTTAAACCCAAAGCACATACAAAGGGAGGAAATTATAAAAACCAGAGCAGATATTAATGCAATTGAAACTAAGAAACAATACAATGAATCAAAGAGTTGGTTCTTAGAAAGATCAAATAAAATAGACAAACCCTTAGCCAATCTTACCACAAAAAGGAAAGAAACAACTCAATCCATGCAATTAGGAATGAAAAGGGTGAAATCACAACAGATCCTGCAGAAATTCAGAAGATTATCAATACCTACATCAAGAACCTGTATTCTAATAAGATGGCAAACACAGAAGAAAGGGACAGATTTCTAGATACATATGAACTACAAAAGCTGAATCAAGAAGACATAAAAATATTACATAAACGAATATCAGTCAATGAAATTAAAGATGCAATTAAAAACCTACCAACAAATAAAAGCCCAGGTCCTGATAGTGTCCCTGCTGAATTTTACAAGAAATTTAGAGAAGACCTAATGCCACTACTTCTCAAATTTTTTAATGACATTGAAAGGGAAGCAATACTCCCAAATTCATCCTGGAAGCAAGCATTACCCTGGTACCAAAACCAGAGAAGGATCCAACCAAAAAAGAGAACTACAGGCCAATCTCCTTAATGAACATAGATCCAAAAATCCTCAATAAGATACTGGCAAAGAGAATACAGTAAGTCATAAAGAAGATTATACACCATGACCAAGCAGGATTCATCTCAGGGATGCAGGGATGGTTCAACATATGCAAATCAGTAAATGCAATACATCATATTAACAAAAAGCATTTCACAATGTCCAATACTCAATCATGATAAAAACCCTGCAGAAAATTGGAATAGAAGGTGTTTATCTCAAGCTGATAAAAGCCATCTATGACAAACTAACAACATCATACTAAATGATCAAAAACTGAAAGTTGGGCTAGGGATTTAGCTCAGTGGTGCTGCACCTGCCTGGCAAGCACAAGGTCCTGAGTTTGATCCCTGGTACTGAAAAAAAAAATCTGAAAGCTTTCATTCAAAAATCAGGAACAAGACAAATATGTCCAATATCATCACTTCTATTCAATATA